TCCCCTTGTGCTAGGCATGTGAATGGCAGGCTGCTTACCCCATAGGTACAGCCCTGGACATGAGGCTATGAGTTGCAGTCCTTGCATTTACTCCATGGCCCACTCCTTGATTAGTCGCTGCAAGGATGGTTAGCAGAAATTACATTGGTCACTGCCTGTATTCTGCTTGGCTACTACCTGAGTATATACACATGGTAACTGTGCAATAAAATCAGACCTGCTTCCTGCTTGGTCTGTGGAGGTCTTGATTACTGATTCTGCAGCCATACTCTCCTGTTCTGTGGACCTCCTTGCTCGASGAGAGAAAGCCCCTGCAGCTGCTGCCTGAACAGGGTCCTGAATAAGCTTATAAGTCAGGATGTGTCCCCTTACAGAGCAGTGAGGAAGGGGAAATAGGGAACCTATTGAATTCCACCAGAGACTCGCAGCTGCAAGTGCTGCACACTCTCTTAGATACTAGAGCTTTAACCCTGAATAAGAGAGAAGCCAGAATTTCTGGGATATAAACACTAACCCATGGATCAATTCTGTTAATGTTTTTGATCCTAGGATATGGGACAAGATAATGGCAAATGTGCAACAAGCTGAAGTGAGACAGGGATATACTTTAYCACTACAATTTTTTTCTWTTATGACAGCCATTTAGCAAAGTTTAGGGGGCCCTGCAACAGACCCTTGTTATATAATGATGGCCCTGAGGAAAGATGAGGCTGTGAAAGACAAGCAAGAGAGAAAAAGCAGGGGTGAGACTCTACTTCAAAGCAAGCAACCACAACAGGTGCAGGAGGGAGAGAGGCAGGAAATGGTACCTCTAGCCTTCATGGTGCAGTAAGAGGTGACCACAAATGGTGCAAGAATACCTTCTACTGACAGGCAATGATTATACCCTTTCCTGAGTCAATGGCAACTGCCTCTTTATGAGCAACACCAAAGCCAGCAAGGGACTATGACAGCTTAGAAATGACCGGGCCACCAGACAGGCCCAAGCCATGGTCTCCCAGAAACCCATTCCAGGAGGCCAGAGATCCTTTTGAAGATCTATGTAGGATAARATATGAGATTCAGGGTAAGGGAGTACAAGCCTTCCTAGTTAACACCGCCTCCACAGCACAGCACCCTGCAACTTGGTATCCATACGCATTGGGTACCCTGAAGGAGTTAAAGAAGGCAATAAAAGAGGATGGGCCCTGGGGGCTGTTTGCAAAGCAAATGCTTGAAGCACTCAGTCTTGAACTTAATTTCCCTCAAGACTGGAAAGACCTATCCAGAGCAGCTCTTGAGCCTGCAACATTCTTGAACCAGAAGGCATTCTTCTATGATKAATGAGAACAGCAGGGGGATTGCAGCCACACCACAAATGTTAACCTCCCAGCTGAATGCTTGCAAGGAGAGGGGATCTACAGTTCCCTTGTGGTACAGGCTATATGCCCACCAAAATATTTTGACCAGCTGCAGCCCTGTGCTCTGAGAGCCTGGAGGAAGTTACCAGCTGGGGAAGGGACAGTTTCTATACAGGGTTTAAGGAAGAAAGCCACTGAGAAGGTGCCACAGTTTATTGAGAGAGTAAACAAGGTGGTAGAAAGAAAGGTGTCACATGAAGGAGCAAGAGTGGCCCTAGCCAAGAAATTGATCAGAGACGGATTAAATAAGGAACATAGGGCAGCAGTGGCACCAGCACAAATGCCACACTGAATGACTAGATTTGGCCACCCAGGATATAGGGACACAAGGAGCTCAAGCCTCTCTACTGGCCTCAGCCATGACAGTTGCATAAAAGCATGACTAAAGAGATTTGAAAACAACTAGTCAGAGACTGCAAAAAAAAAGTGCACCCCTTTTCCCATTGACCCTTTACAACCTGCTGGAGTGAATTCCCAAGAGTTAAAAACTAGTGCTTATGGCAAATGGATGTCACTCTTTATGCACTTTTTGAAAAAAAAATATTCATGTAATTATTGATATCTATTCAGGCTGTGTAATGGCACAGTCTCCATAGGAAAAACCACCAAAAAAGTCATCTCCCATCTACTGAAGTGTCTTGGAAGTGTGGATGTTCCCATGTCTATTAAAACTGACAATGGGCCAGCCTATATTAGCAGGACATTTGAAGCAGTTTGCAATCATTGGCTTGTACACCACTTACCTGGGATCCCCAATAACCTTCAGGCTCAAGGCATCATTGAAAGAACACACAAGAAATTTAAAAACCATACTACAAAATATAGGGGGAGGGGACTATATCAATTCCCCTCATGATTTCTTGAACAAAACCTTATTTGCTTTAAATTTTCTTTCTTTTTTTTTGTAGAAATTTAGCAGCACATAAGCATTGGGCCCTCCTCAATGCTTGGTAATGAGACCTACCATCAGGACAGTCCTCTCTGTTTTGCTCTTGCCCATGAAACTATTGTAGATAACTCTAATAAGTCACATGTTGGACTGTCTCTCACTGACCTTATAGTTCTAGTTAATGCTACCTATAGCCAGAGACTACCCTTGGAAAATTCAAGAAACCCTTGCTGCCAAMATGCCCAACAATGCTTTTTGGAAAGGCCCCCTTGGATAATGATAGCATCCCATGGAATCAATGTGTCACTGCCACACCTTATCTCCTTGATAAGAGGAATTTCTCCAGGGAAGAACACCTATTGCACCTGGGCAGGTGCAGCTCCCAGGAATGTAACTGATGTGCCCCAAAATCATATGGCTGCTGCAGTACCTGCTACACTGGACAAGCTGTTACTAAATGTTAGGCAGGGAATCAGATGATGTGAGGAATATCATGCTAATATTGCTAGGAGTTGGCTGGATGAATGAGTCTATATTGAGTTCAGACCCTGACCATGGATTTGCCTTTATGCCAAATTATACCCATACTCACTATGCACATGCTTGGGTTATGCCACCCTTTGCCATGCTGATAATCAATGATACCGAAGGCATAAATGTCACTCATACAGAGATCCCTTGTGCAGTCAACACATACTGCTGGCTCACAAATTGTCTAATCCCTGATATGAAAGCTAAACATATATTTATCCTCAGAGTGTCCCCAGCAATCTGGCTTCCAATGAACCTGTCCAGAGAGTGGAAGAGTCCATGGGACATGGAGATGAAAAATCTTCTGAATGAGATCCAACACTGGACAAGGTGTGCAATTAGCTTCATCATCACTGGAATTATTGCCCTGGTAGCCACTATTGCCACCACAGCCACTGCCATTCTTCACTTACTCAGAGTATCCAGATTGCTCAGACTGTAAACAATTTGTCTATTGCCATGGCAGAAGCTTTTGCCATTCAAAATGACTTAAATAAACTATCCTGAGCTACTATTTTARACATTCAGCAAGAACTAGATCTCCACCAGAAACAACTAGATATTCTGTTTATGTTGCAAAGGCTCACTTGTGACCTTGAATTCCATACTATTTGTGTCACCCAATATGCTGTATCTGAAAAT